TACTGGCTTCTACATAACCCGTTGTTCATCACGTCAATCTGAATTTCAGTACTAGCTGATACTAATCACATTAGGTGCGGATTGCTATTTGCCTCTGGCTGCAGCAAGTCGGTCAGTCCGCAAGTCCCCTTAGCGGAGAGCCATGGATCTCAGCAGGGGATCCGGAGATGTGTTCAAAAACTCGCTCGGTTCAGTTCCATCTCCAGCCGAGGATGATGAGATACCTTTAGACTCTAGCAGTGAAGAATCTGATGTTTCCATGTCTGATTCCGAATCAGAGGTCGTACATAATTCGTTAATTTCAACTGGTATCGAACATATTTCGACTCAAGCTCAACTACCAGTTCTCGCTACCCAGCGCAATCAGGATATCCCTAAGAAGCGAAAGTCTCAAGAGGCATATGATGCTCATCATGCACTCGTCTCGATCAAGAAAGTAAAGTTAGACAATGAGGGTTCTAATCAAGCCCCGTCCATTGTGACCTGTCCATTAGACAAATCTCTACTTCCTGCCGAAATATGGCATCGCATTTTTACTTTCACTCCTCCAAGAGCCCTAGGCAATTTGTTGTGCGTCAATAAGTTGTTCAGTGTATATCTCGATCCATCTTCCCCCTACCAGTGTAAATTCCCGCCCTCTCTTTCCCAATCCTCCTCTCGGCTACTTAAGCCTGATGCTATATGGCAACTTTCTAGGAGACGGTTTTGGCCGAGGATGCCAACTCCACTACAGCAGAAGACTGAGCTTTATATGTGGCGCCTTGCTTGTGGAAGAAGATGTCAGTTCTGTGGTGAAACCGATTTGGTGTCAGCAAATTCGTCCCATAACCAGAGACACCAACCAATTTGGCCGTTTGCGCTTCGAAGCTGCGAATCTTGTCTTGTAGAGAAGACGATGAAGGTATGTAAGTGCTCCTAAGCTATGAGGATATTATCTCACTATCTCACAAGGAGATTGATTTGTTACTTTCCTCGACGCCCTCCCTACTGATGTCGGCGTTACCATTTACTTTTATCACCAACGAGAACCGTGTAATATCACCAGACGCGCTTCAGAAGGGAGTATTCCAACCAGATATGCAAGTCACCAAGATATACCTCTCCGAACACGTAGAGAAGCTAAAACAGGAGTTTCTTTCCGCTAAATCAATGGGCGGTGCGACGGCTGAAGAGTGGCTAAAAGGCTTAGAGGCTCGAGGAAAAGAACTACTTAATGATTCTATGCGATGGGAGAAATGGGCCTCAACTGGCGGAGTAGCTCAGATGCAAACCCCAACGAGTTTGGATAATGCTTCGAGTATGGTCATTTCAAACAATAAGGGGCAAGTCCCAGCAGATTCTTCGTTAGCTCCCAAAACCCCTTCGAGTTCAAGTAATATAGCCGGACAACATGCAGCTGATTCGAGTCACGTTGCATCCGTTATAATAGCACCTCAACCCGCGCGTACACCCGAAGCTGCTTCTTCACGTAAGTTATCCCAGTCCGGTTTCCTCGGTTGTGGCTAACATAATAGAAGATGAACTCGGAGCCGGTATTCCTTCATTACCAATTAATGTCCAATCTAGCGGATCTCGTACCCGGACTCGGGAGGAGGCGTTAGAGCTTAAAGCTGCTCGGCGCACAGAAATTGAGCGACGGGCGATGGAACTCGATCCACCTTTGCCGTCAAATATATTAGAACATATTCCAGCCTTCCAAGCAGCTATCCAGATCATCACACCTCTTGATGACTACGCATGGGATTTACTCAAGCCACGCTTGCTTGCACAGAGAACTGCCGCGGAACAGCGTGAACGACGTGAACAAGGGGCTCCTCCTACTCAGTCCCGTCTCGTCTCAGCAATCCCTGAAGAACATGGACAGACTGAAGAAAACGCAATCGTAAATAAGCAGCTCGTCGATAAGGCTTGGGATGATGTCCAGGAGCCGCTACGCGCGCAGATTTCTGCATTTGCTGACGAGATCATCCGCGATAATTGGAACGATGGTCAAAAGGTTGATACGGATAACAGCCCACAATTCGCCGCCGAGGTCCTTCTACATGTCCGTAAAAAGTTCTACGCGGAAATTGAAAGGGAGTCAGCCGCGGCACGAGCTGCTGGCAGAGAGCCGCTTGAAGACCCGCCAGAAGGGCCATTTACGCAAAAGCTCACCCTTGAGAATATGAAGTGGCTATTTGACGTAAAGATAAAACCTCACACCGAGTCATATCGGAAGGACCTCTTCTTCTGTAACGGCTGCGAAATTAGCTTCAAGGCCTTTGGATTCGAAGGCGTTATTCAGCACTATGCTGCTAAGCATACACAGGCTCTTAGTCAAGGCAGCGTTGTGGTCCACTGGCGGGCTGAGTGGCCAGAGATCCCGCCCTTTAGGCCCGACCCTCACATCGTTAAACCTGCACCAGCCATATCGACCTACGGAACCTTGCAACCCCAAGGCAATGCCTATCCCCACCTTCGCAATGCTGGCCCTCATTCTACCAGCTCAAACCCGTCGCCCTTCCAGCCATCTCCGTACGCTGCTGTGCCTCCAAGCTATGGGCATCCAGCATATGGACCGACGATGCAACAGCCGGCTCCACACGGATATGGAAGCCCCTACATCCAAGGACCACATGAATACGGTTCTCCTTATCCTCACTATGGACCACCCTATGGATCATATGAAGCTCCTTACCATAGCTTACATCCATCTTTTTCTCCTGGGATGCAAACCGAGTCACCGACTTATCCTCCTGCTACAACTCCCTACCATGGCCATAGCTACACACCTCAGAATAACTCCCAGATAAGCTCTCAAAGTCCCCATGGGAATTTCTTTGCTGGTAAATATCGTGCTCAGCTTGATTATCTAGCTCGAAATTCACGTGAGCTCTGGACCTCCACAGCTGGTTTAAAAGAGCTCCCAGGAGATATTAGGGTTCATGTTGTCATCTGGCATGTAGTGCAAAAATTTCGGTCCAAGTTCTATGAGAGCCCCCCATTGTCCATGTTCATCGATGGGCTCTCAAATAACAAGGAGATGCGTCCAGTACGCAATGTCAACGGCTTAATGTGTAAAGCGTGCCACCTTAGTCTGAGTAATGAAGCACCGACCGAACAGGATCTGAAGGCATTTTCTCTGCCACAGCTGGTAAACCATTTTCAACAAAGGCACGTGGATCAACCACAAATGGCAGGCGTCCCTTTCCTTGACTGGACTGTCAACATGGTGCATATGCCAGATCTCTCTGCGCTATCTAATATTCAGTACTTGGCGAATATAGATGGCCAGAAATCTTCCTTGATATATAGTGCTTTTCCATCAGCGCAGTATCCTAACAGCTACCTACAAGGCGTATATGCTGTTGATACCCGAGTAGATGTCGGAACCGGAGCTTTCGCTGGTCGGCAGCCGACCAGTATCGACTCGGCATCATTCTACCCTGCAACTAGACATGACGAGACCAACTCTACCATACAACAAGATCCCACACAAGCCACTACATTAGGCCAGAAACTGGATTTTAATCAAGTGATGGTCGTAGACAGCCCTTCTCTAACGGCACACCAGAAGCTGCAGCATAGTGACTCGGGCCGGTCCTCCTCAGAAGCATGGCAGGGGAATAATGCGGCAAGGACAAAGAAGCAGAGGAGGTCTTCCACTAAAGATCGTCGAAACACTTCCAGTCAGGGTTCTAGGAACCGTAAGAGCGGTGCATTAGATACATCATCCAGGGTCAAATCACAAGAACCTAGCGAGGGAGACCTAATCACGGAAGAAGAACGTCGCCAAGAAGAGGAAATTCGAGCAATGTGGGCTGCAGACCGCAGGGAGGCTGCACTCGTTGCTTCTAAGAAGAAACCTCCGAACCAAATTGAAGAGCCTAGCACTCCCAATAGGAAATCGGAAACAGGAAGTCCAATAAGTCATTATGTTCCACCGCCTCAAAGTATTGGACCATCGATATATGCAGCACAAGCTGCGAGACCTCAGCAACTTACAATTACTCAGGAACGCGACGAAGATGATCTGATGGCTGGTCTAGAATCTCAACTCGATAAACAGCAAGTATTAAATGAACGTTTGGACTATCGGTCACGGCATGATAGCGATCTTCATCATAAGAGGCAACCACCCTACGGACAATATTTCGGTTCTGAGCGGCATACCTATTCTGACCAAAGACATTCTTATGATCGAGCTACCTTGGAACCCCCTGGATATGTTCGCCACGAATCAAGACCTGGCCTTAACCAGTATCAGGAAAATGATGTTGACCCTCGTGCTATCAACCCAGCCCACGGATCCACGCGGACTCCAGCGCCTCTAGATGACGCGTTATATGACCGACCTCTACGCCAGGAATATTATCATGTATACAATGATGACCATCGAGCACATCAGCCCGCCCCCGAATATGCTACAGCCTACGAAATTGTTAGGGTCCGAGATTCCCACGGCGAGTACGTAATCAAAAGACCTATTAGACTTGAGCGAGAACCTACCTACGCCACATCCCAGGATGGGCCTACTCCTTATAATGATGCTGCGGCGCAATACAGGTCTTACGGAGATGAAGACTCCGGCAACCGATTGAGATACGAGTCTGACTTGAGGACCGAGCCACCTCCGCGACAACATACATACGAGGCCGGCTTCAGGGCAGAAGGTAATATAACCAAGAGAACGTACGAAGCATTCTCAAGAGATGACGCCACTGGCTATGATGACTACGACCCGAGATATCCGTCAGGTCCACCGAACTCCAACATTGAGCGACAACCTCGATACCAGTGACCACAGTTTACAAAGGATGGTCAAGCATAGTCATGTTTAATGTTTAGTACTTATAAAATGGCACTCTTCCTATACAAGTCGCAAGACAAAGATTTCAAGACGGATAAATTTGAATTCAGAGCAAGGCCTGTTCAACTGGAAGACTCAAAAAATATAAATATTTCACGATGATCATATGAGTACCTATTTACTATTAAAACTACTCTGTCGTGATCTGTTGTAATTATTGTCCTTGATAGTGATACCGTCGGTCCTAAAGACTGTCTTGCTACAGTAAGATATGGCAATTGTCTTGTCACGACGTGAAATACCCATTACTGACTGGTTTATCTAGTGCTGATCTTTGTACAGCTATAAGATTTCGCGATTTCGCATCAATCACCTACGTGACGTTCCTACTCGCCGTTTTCGCTCGCCATTGCTTTACTTTACTTTACTTCCGCTTAGCGACGACGCTACAATCTCCATCATCGTCACCCTATCCCCTAGCTCTTATTATTAAATCCCATACTCCCCTAGTACCTCCCCTTCCAGCACCTCCATCGCCCGTACCGCATCCGGGACTCCCAACCAGCTACACAGATTCCTCCCCGCGTCAAGTACCTCCCACAACGCCTGCTCATTGGCTACCCGCCACTCGTCCTCGTTGCCGAGGGCCACGGTTTCTGCCCAGTGCATCAGTCGCCCCATGGATTCGATCGCGAGCCGCTCGACGTTGAGGACGTGCAGACGGTCTCGTTGCGATCCAGTCCAGAGCATGCTGCAGATGCTGCTTGTGTTGAGCAGGAGGGACTGAGTTGAGGGAGGGATGGCGTTTGAGCTGGAGCTGGAGTTGTGAGTACAGGTATTGCTATTATTATTGCTGCTGCTATTGGTGGTGTCACTACTATTGTTCGTGCCAGTGTCGTTACTGCTGTTCCCACTGCCACCACCATGACAAGCCACGGACCAACCCTGACTAGCAGCCCGAGCACGCCGATTCGCGAGATGCGTGTCGAGGTACGTCCTCGTCGCTTGCAAGCATATATCATGGACAGCGCGCGCCGTCGCACAGATGTCCACGATGGGCCCTGTGCTGCTGCTGGGTATGCTGACGGTGCGGCTGGATGTGGCTATGGAGAGAGTTCGGCCGTCTGTACGCGATGGGGCGGGTGCAGGAGGTGTAGATGGCCATGGGTGCTGGTTTGCCGCCTGGGGCAAGTGTGCATCTGGCTCGGGCTTGAAGATGCGTGGTGGCGACTCTATAGGATACGGTTGAGGAGAGCGTGGCCTCGGCCTTTCTATTTGCTCCGGTGGAGGATGGTTATTGTCGTATAGCGGTTGTCGATGACCATTTTCTCTCTTCAAATATTGGAGATCCGGGCGAGGGGTAAAACACGGACACTCCCCAGGTGACAACGGCGAGAATTGGGGATCAACGACTTCCCATTCGGTAGCGGTGACCGGTAGGGACTTAGTGCCGGTCGTTTTCGTATGTGGGCTTGCTTCCATGGTTGGATCTTCTCGGGTGGGTGAAGCAACGGGTGAACCTTGAGCCCTGCGATAAATAAAGTCACTTGGTGATGTCGTTAAATTTAACATGATCAATATGTGGAACTAGTAAACCAGAATGCATGGAACTCTACTGGTATTAATAGCACGGCGATAATAGCAACGGCTGGGAGAACCGTAGGCTTCTAGAGGCTTATACAACTAAGAGTCATCCTAAGGGACTTTCGAGTAACTACAAGAACAGAACTTGGGAGAAACACGAGGCGGTGGGGACAAAGGCGATAAATTGCGATAAATTTAAGACACATCGATCTGATGCGGGTGCTTATTATCTGTGAGTCTATGTGTGCCAGATGACAACTCTACCGTCAACACCGCTTGCTTTGTATCCCGTTAGCATATCCACAGAATAGCCTGAGGCTTCGATGGGAGGAGAAAGACTTACTGCTGAACTTGGTGACGGCCCCGCCATCGGACTCGTACACACGGACTGTCGAAATGGTGTTCTGGTGAACAGTCTTTAGTTGAGTGTCGTCTTTGGCCTTGCCTTTCAAGTCCATCTGCTTGAACATATTCAAGGCAGACTCTTCTCGCTCATCTCCCAAGCCAGGCCCTCCCTTAGATTCCAAAGTACCACTCAGCTGCCATCCAGATGCGTCACCCCTGAATCTAAATGCCTCGCAATCGTATCCGGCTGCGATAATTTCGCTTTCGCCGTTCCAGATTAGGCTCATGAAGGGCAGGAGCTGAGTGTTGACGCTAATGACAGCTCGCGGGGGTTGCTCAGGAGCGGTAGGGTAAACGACGGTAATGCTGCTGTCGTGGGCAGCGAAGGCGAGGGCGTCACCGCTCGGAGAGAAAGCGACGGAATGTATCCACCCGGCGGAGTTGTTCAAGAACTCGCCGCAGACGGTGTTGAAAGGTAAGCGTTCACCCCAGACACTAGGCTCGGGACGAGCATCGACGCCCTTGATGAAGCTCGAGAAGACTCTCGCGTGGGCATCGGTAGAACCGGCAGCGAGCAGCACCGAGTTAGGATGCCAGTTGACGCTAGTGATGGTGCTTCGAATAGGCTTCTTCAAGTGCTTGGAAACCCACCAGTCGTTCTCCTCTTCGAAGTAGCAAATAGCAATGACCCTGTCACCGGAGCCAACAGCGAACTTGGTCTCGGAGGGAGACCAGCGAACGAAGGTAGCCGCTCGAGCAATTCTAAGAAGTACCAGAGTTGGCTTGTACCCAGTAGGGGAGGGTTCCCAGACTAGGGCATTACGGTCTATCGAACATGTTAGAAACATAAGTTTAGAATGTAAATGAGGTAGATGAGGTAGATAGACCTTGGGAACACGTGACAATTCGGCCGCTGCCTGGAGCAATGTCGACACTGGTGATAGTTTTATCGTGACCTTTAAGCTCATCTTTTAACTTAAAGGCACCTCCTACTTTGCCGTATAGTTCGATAGTAGAGTCCTTAGCGACGGCCAACGTCTGGCGGTCGGCTGAGAAGGAATGGTCAGCAATAGGTCGATGGAAGAGATGGTGAACCTCCGGGGCGGCCATCTTAATAAAGATCTCCTTCCTTTCTTTTCCCTTCGAGGACCGAGGTGACTGTCTTTTTTTAGGTGTCCTTTTATAATTCTGTGTCTACCTGTGATAGGAGTATAGCTCTCTACTACCACGTCGAGATAGATGGGTAGGTAGTTTAGTGGTGTCTTTAAGATTTGGGAATAAGAAAGGAGGTGTAAGTTAGCAAGTTAGCAAGCAGCTAGAAATGCGAGGTGGCAGGGCAAGCAGCAGTGGGGTGCAGCTGGGGCTCCGCAGATGTGCGTCACCTCTGTCGAGCTCAAGCCACAGTATCCCGCTAAGTGTGGCAGGCACTAAATGTGCCTAACCTAAACGATCGGTATTATCGGTATTGTGAGGCTCCTTCAGCCGTTCTGCGTGGCTTGTCTTCTACAATAATTAAACACGACCATCGAGATCATTAATTAACCTTTTATGCTTTATTATAGAAGCCCCAAGGTTTCCCACGGCCAATACGAGGTGTAGAGAAGTTCGGAATTGGCGATTCAATACGTTGGACAATAATCAATTGAATCCGATATACTCGTATCCTTACAATGGCCACCACCGTCGCTACACGCGGTCAACCACCCAAGACTGGCGGCAAGACAGCTCCAATTCCACCAAATCAGACGTAGGTTCTCGAAATTACGCCATCAACTTATTGTGTGAGGCCTCTGTCTAACACTGTTTCCAGGCTCTACGTTACAAATCTGCCTTCGAATAAGATCAACAAGACAGACCTGAAGACGGCACTCTATATGCTATTCTCGACCTACGGCCCTGTGCTTGACATTGTAACTCTTAAAACCATAAAAATGCGTGGGCAATCTCACGTTGTCTTTCGCGATGTGCAGGCGGCGACTCAAGCATTAAGGTCCTTACAGGGTTTCAAATTCCTAGGACTGGAACTTGTATGTAAATTTTTATGTTTTTGAACTTATTTGCGTTGGGCCTAACTAACTAACGCGTGCCTATAGCGGATCGAGTATGCGAAGTCTAAATCAGATATCATCGCGAAGTTAGACGGCACATACAAGCTTCCGGGATCAACCGCCGCCAATGTCGAGATGACGGAAGCCCAGCAGAACATCTTCAATGCTCCGGCACCTGGCACTACTACCACCAGCGCACCTGCGGCAACCTCCACCCCTCATGGTCTTCCTACGAAGCCTCCTCAGAGCTCCGACCATGCGATGACGGATGCAGGCGGCCCTGATGCTCGCGGACAAAAACGAACTCGCGACGAAGAGGAGGAAGAAGATAGCGACGAAGATGTGGCGATGGAGGAGGACAGCGATGATGAATGAAGACTTGCTAGTACCAAGCTTGCTGAAAGAACGCATTTAGGATAAGACCTCCCTCTCAATTTCATGGGTTGTCAGGCCATAGGGTATGGCTCGTTCCCTTATTATATGGGTACCGGGAGCCTTAGCCAGCATTGACAGCGGCCATCTGTTGAGGGACCCAAAGTCCAACACACCCTCCCACTAAACCAAGCCATACCATGAGATAGTCTTGCTTTGCGCAGTCAAACCCAGCCATGGCGTCTCCGATGGCACATGGGTGAACGAAGAACGAAGGGAGTCCGGTAATAGGGTGGTGCTGTAGACGTCATGGTTAGTCCCAAGGTAGAGATAATAAAATACCCAATATGAGAAACAAATAATTGACTTATTAGGCAGAACAAAAATTTCACCTACATCGATTGAGATGGCCCCTATGGGGCCAACTGTTTGGAGAGAATCTTTGAACTGTTCAGGGACTAAGTGACGGAAGACAGTTTCGATATCGAGGGGTGACTCCCCAGCTGGTAGACCATGTAGAGCGAACCAGAGACAGGGTGAGCTATACGTCGGGTGGAAATGAATCTCATAAATGACGTGACCCTCTTGGAAGTGTGCCCGAGATGGTCGTTTAGAAACGACTTCCTGCAAACGTGTTAATCATCTATGCCGCGCTATTGAGGGGGGTTTTAGTTATAATATGGCTGACCTTATCCGAATCTTCCATCTTGACCATCATTTCGTCGCCATCCAGTTGCATATCTTGATCCTCGCCCAAAGACACGCCACCCATCTTAGCCGCGAGCTCATCGTCGGCAGCCGTTCTGTTGTCCAGAGGTCGTGTGACCTGTAGGAAAGTAGTAGGCCCTGAACCATGCTCAAAGGACAACTCTAACGCCGTGTGAACATGAAGGCGCCATTCTTTGCGCAAGGGGCCTAGTGTAGCGCGGCGATATCTCCTGTCCAGATAGTGGCATACTTCAGAAAACTCCGCCTTGGTAAGATACGGGTAGCGCTTGTAGCTCGAACGGTGACAATTAGAAGGGTCCATTGTGTGTCGTTCAAGCGGTTGTGGTTGCTACTATGGTGGTGGTAGTGGTGGTAGTAGTAGTAGTAGTCGAGAGTCAAAGACTTGAAGACGGGACCGAGATATCTAGGTATATATATTTTTAATTTTGAAATTCGAGTAGTTCTTGCCAGTTCTGAACAATGACGAGTCTTTAATATAGATTAATAGCGCCTTCCTAACAACTCAAGCATTAAGAAGTACCTAAGTCGATTAATTTATATAAACATATAAACCTTGAAGCTTCGAGACGAATATGAGTAAATGGAGACATTATTTTATAAGGCATGTACCTACCCAATATAATTCAGGCTTCTAGGTACCTAACCTACCTACCTCTAGACATACATGTAACCCAATGTGAGGCAGGTACTTCTCTATGGCGTGCATGCACTGATGTCGATGTAACATTAAGTGGTTTGAGAGGTTTAAGTGGTTCAAGCGATTGTGGAGGGGCTAGCTGCATATATGCCGAAACTCTCATTGGCTACTAGTCAGATAGGCGGCAGGACCAGGCGAACGGCAATTGTAAAACTAACTAACTGTCCTTAATAGGTACCTCCTTCCGACCATATATTTTGTAAGTCAGTAGCCGCAACTCACCTTTTCTTTTCCTAGAATCAAAGCTAACGGGGAATTTCTTCCTACGTGCCTATGCCTTCACCAGGCGGATTTCAAGAATTCGGCACGGAGAGAAGAACAATAATGATAGAATAGAAATGATCTTGTCATTGTTCTTATCCAATTAAATTTCTTGGGCTAGGCGTGCTTCCTACTCTACCGCCCCCATCTACCGCCCCCATACGATTACTACTAGTCTAGTGTATTAGTATATTAGTACGAGTCGCCCGTCCTCGACAAGCCGCCTACTAATGCGTCTTCTTTGTCGTCGATATACCTTGCCCGATGAATATCCGCGACCCCTTCGGTATCCATCGAAAGAACGCTCTATCCATCCTTAAGACCACCGTACCGCGTGCTGCCGTCAACTTCACCGAACGCGCCGTCGAGGCCAGTATTAATGCTCTCGAGAAGAGCAAGAAAGCCGTCGACGATATTGACATGTCATTTTCCGTCCCTAAAAATGTTCCCTCGTTTAGCAACCCGCAGAGGATAGTGGAGGATCACGTCTGGGGCAACACAGCAGTCGCAAGAGGTGGAAAGGGTTCAAATCCCAAGAATACTGGAATACTTGGGGGCGTGCAAGACAAGGTTGGAAGCCTCTTCGACGATCGAAACTCTCTCCCCATGTACAAGGACAAGCCGTATGCGTACCCGCCCTCCTACCGAGCCAGACCTCTCTGGCGGAGAAAGCGGATAATTGGCCTTGTGCTACTAGTGATCCTACTGCTATATTATTTCGGTGCATTCGGTCGTCATCATGATACTGCTGTCGCTTCAACTCCTATATGGGCTTGGCTTACTGCTAACTCTGGATCGGGGAGATCGGCCGACTGGTTGGGGCGGAGAGAACGCGTCGTCGAAGCTTTCACTCTAAGCTGGGACGCTTACGAGCGATATGCCTGGGGTAAGATATTTAAAGTCAATGGTTGCGACTTTATGCCTAGTTTTTGCTGACTCGCCTCAAGGCTATGATGAGTTTCACCCGATATCCAAGAAAGGTAACCAGATGGCCAAGGGAGGAATGGGGTGGATCATCGTGGATGCTCTAGACACCATGATTCTAATGAATCTCACTTCCCGTGTCACTCACGCGAGAGAGTGGATTGCAAATACCCTATCATATGACCAAGATCAAGATGTTAGCACCTTCGAGACGACAATTCGTATGCTAGGCGGTCTCCTCTCTGCTCACTATCTCTCCAATGAGTTCCCTGAGTTGGCGCCGTTATCAGACGATGACCCCGGAGCACCTGGAGAGGATCTATACCTTGAGAAGGCAAAGGATCTCGCTGACCGACTTATGTCTGCTTTCGATTCTCCGTCCGGCGTCCCCTATGCCAGCGTGAATATTGGGAAATACGAAGGTATACCAGCTCACGACGAGGGTGGCGCATCGTCTACTGCCGAGGCGACTACCTTGCAGCTCGAGTTCAAGTATCTCGCCAAATTGACCGGCGAGAAGTACTTTTGGGATAAAGCCGAGAAAGTAATGGAAGTTGTTGATAATAATGGGGTCGAAGATGGCCTAGTACCCATCTACATTTACGCTACAGACGGTACTTTCAGAGGCCATAACATCCGATTAGGAAGCCGAGGAGACTCTTATTATGAATATCTTATCAAACAATATTTGCAAACTAATAAGCAGGAACCCGTCTATCTAGAAATGTGGGACGAGACTCTACGGGGAGTCCGCAAGCACCTCGTCACTTACACAGAGCCGTCTGGGTTCACCATCATTGGAGAGCGGCCAGATGGGTTGAAAGGCGCCTTGTCTCCTAAGATGGATCACTTGGTCTGCTTCATGCCAGGAACGATTGCCCTTGCTGTCACGGGGGGGTTGACAGAAGCGGAAGCTAGGAAAAAGCCAACATGGACAAAACAGAACGAAGCCGACATGCAGCTCGCGAGGGAGTTGATGCAAACATGCTGGGGCATGTATAAGTGGATGGCCACCGGTCTTGCAGCCGAAATCACATACTTTAATATCGCCGACCCACCTGCGCCCGAGTCTGCTCCTCACCATCCACCAGCTGAGTTCGATCCGGACCCCGAAGCACAGTGGCGGAAAGATTACTCGGTTCACTCCATGGACACTCATAATCTCCAGCGGCCGGAAACGGTAGAAAGCCTGTTTTACATGTGGAGAATCACAGGTGATATCAAATACCGAGAATGGGGCTGGGAGATGTTTAAGTCGTTTATGAACCACACTGCCGTAGCGGATGGCGGAGGATTTTCCAGTCTTTCAAATGCAAACAAGGTGCCGCCGGTGATGCGAGACAATATGGAAAGTTTTTGGCTGGTATGTTCCTATACCCTTATACTATCGAATGCATTTTCTAATTTGTTCTTTACCTTGCAGGCCGAGACTTTGAAGTACTTCTATCTTCTATTCTCTCCCAACGATCTTCTTCCGTTGGATAAGATTGTCATTAATACCGAGGCACACCTTTTCCCTCGATTCGACATGGGCCAGCTATTCTCGACGGGATGGAAGCGGAAACCAAGAGACGCAGAAGGGAAGATTATTCAATGAGTTCAGAAATAATCAGCATATATGATCTCCACCTATTTCGGGGAGTATGATTGGCGTAATGTAGAGCTCGGGAGGGTTGTTTTTCTCGATGGCTGTCGCATAGTATATATGGCATTCTGAACATGTATAAACTTGAAACTCACAGTTACGTTTAGTCCTAATGTGATATCTGAGGCGATCCAATAACGACTTGATGTTTATAAGTAATTTAGCCCACCAACTGGAATTCGAACGCTAATATTACCTCCACTGCACCAAGTGGCTTGATGCCGTGGTACGCATACAGTGCAAGTATTAAATACCTACCTATGTAAGCACCTAAATTCGTAGGATCGATCTAGGCCAGATCTTGGATTTGACGTTCATCCCATGCACGTTATCTACAAATATCCACTATTTAAGTGTATCCAAGCAGGGATCTTAGATGTCATTATGTAACTCGTAGGAGCAAAAGGAAGGTGCATTTCCATTTTAGCTCGCGTGGCCGATAAGCTACCCTGAACCACCTTCCCAGCTTCCGTCAATAACCCCACGGCGACTTTTACATACGACACTTGTTTGTTCGCATCGTCGACAAGAGACCACCATCGCGAACTTGGCAATTGCGCGCAATTGCCCATCCCCATCCCCGAACCAACTTTTCGAATCGGCAACTTCCCCCGCGCGCGATGAACCACCACCCACCATGCCGTCGTCGAACCGGGACATCGAGATGAGCATCTTCCCGATCAAAGAGGACTCGCTGGCGCCCGGGAGCAGCTACACGATGCGCGAGCCGCTATACGAGGAGGAGGTGGCGTCGTCGTCGCGCACGCGGTTCTTGGATCGCATCGTCGACGGGTTCCGGAGAGACCCGAACCAGCGCGTTACGCCCGAGGACCCGCTCGATGCGATACATGCGGCGGAGGCGGCGCAGCTGCGGATGCCGATGCTGAGAGGAGGAGGGGCAGGAGGAGGAGGAGGAGGGGGGAGGGGGTCGTCGTCGGGGTCGTCGTTGGGGAATAGGTATGATGTTAGGGCGGCGAATTTGCAGACTGCGCAGTCGCATCTTGCGAGGAAGTTGAAGGGGAGGCATTTGCAGATGATTGCGATTGGAGGGTCTATTGGTGGGTGCTCGCTCCCTCCTATCGTATCTTGGCTACGCATGGAGATAAGCTGACCATGTTCAATGGCGCAGGGACCGGGTTATTCGTTGCTTCGGGCCGCGCGCTGGAGGTTGGGGGCCCGGCGTCGCTGTTGCTTGCGTATCTGTTCATCGGGTGCATGTTATACTGCACCGTGCAGGCTCTTGGCGAGCTGGCTGTCTCGTTCCCGGTTGCTGGGTCCTTCTCTGCGTATTCGACGCGCTTTTTGGACCCGTCGTGGGGGTTTGCTATGGGTTGGAAGTATGTCCTTTCTCCTTTCATTTTCATTCTTCTAGGTATAATATAACTAGTAGTCATATGAGGTGACTACGACTTACATGCCTCTTCTAGTTATGCCCTGCAATGGCTGGTCGCGCTACCGCTCGAGATCATCGCCGCGTCGATAACTATAACGTATTGGAATCCCGATCTAAATAAAGCTATTTTCGTGACGATATTCCTGATCGCGGTTGTTGCCATCAACCTGTTTGGTGTCAAGGGATATGGCGAAGCTGAATTTGTCTTCGCCCTTATCAAGGTTATTGCTGTTATTGGATTCATGTAAGACTGACTCTCTTCTACCACTGCTCTACCTAACAAGCCTATACGTTTATTGACGTTTTTCACCGGTACAAGCTTACTAGGGATCGTCTTGAATATCGGAGGCGTCCCAGGAGGCGGGTATATAGGGGTTTTATATTGGCGTGATCCGGGCGCATTCCACAATGGCTTCAAAGGCCTCTGCAGCGTCTTCGTCACGGCGGCATTTGCCTTCGCCGGGACAGAACTAGTCGGGCTCGCTGCAGCCGAAACGGCGAATCCGCGCAAGTCCTTGCCTACTGCTATCAAGCAGGTCTTCTGGCGGATTACTATATTCTATATCGTGGCCTTGTTCCTCATCGGATTGCTCGTCCCCTACAATGACCCACGTCTTCTCATCCCCGGATCGGCCGTCGCGGCCGCGTCGCCTTTCGTCATCGCCATCGAGAATGCAGGCATCGAGGTCCTGCCGTCGGTAATGAACGTCGTTATCCTGATCGCTGTCC